TTCGAGTAAAACGGATTTTAAAGTGTGACATCTTGTGTAAAGTTATGGTATCTGCTTTTACTAAACCACTTGTAATTTTTGTTCTAGTGAATGGAAAATAAAAAACTTGGTATTTTTATTAAGATAATAAGATGGCCTATAAAATAAAATCACAAGAAAATTTTGTCAATTTTTGAAAAAAAATTATGATTTTAGGGTATTCGGATACCGTAAGTGTGTGTGTGGAACGGGGTTCCCCGAAAACACCTAGTTCTGAGGGTTCGGTGAGTTTGAAGACCGCTGAGGGTCAGTGTGTCCATCCTCCCTCTTGCTTGTCAGGTCTGCGTTCTAGAATGATAAATGAGCTGTTAGAGAAGGAAATGCCATCGTGGGAAGGCGGGAATCTATGGGGGGTAACAATCAGGGTAATCCTTGAAAAACTGCATTTTTGTGTTCTACTCGATTTCCGGTTTCCCAAGAGGATTCTAGTAAGCGTCCCCTCCACCGGCCACTGGGAAATAGGACTCCTGGAGAGATGTCTAAATGGTCCCTAAAAGTTTTACAGACGTTTTAGTAAACGTCATTTCAGAAGGCGGAAAAAAAGTTATTTTTCATTTATACGTTTTTATTTGAACGTTTAAATCAGAGGCTCCAAAATATTTTTGTTTCATAGACCCGTTGCTATGTTTTTTGGTTTTGGGGGTAGACCCCTGCTTACCTAATATCGAACTTTTGCAAATTTATCAACTTCAATGTCTTTTTGGCAGCTAGTATAAAGCTACTTACTGTAAAAGAATTCAATTTCTAACTGTAGTGAAGTATAGAATCTGAATAAAATAACGAATTAAATGCTGAATGTAGATTAAAACGTCCTGACAGATTGTCTGTGACAAATCGAGAAAATTAGTGACCTCCAATATTATACTGCTTTATCTTAATTGTGGAAAGAAATGTTGAAATGCTCCTTGTTTTAATAAAACTTATGCTGTGTCACCTTATTACAAATTAATCTTATTAAACTCACTAAATAAATCTGTTAAATAGGTAAAATCTGAAATTCCACTTGATTAGTTTTTTTTTAAAATTTAAGTCATGATCTAGTTTAATGAGAACCTTTATCATAGACCCCATTTACATCTTATGGACCCACAAACTATATTTTCGCTTACTTGGACCCCTTACAAATCGTCATAGCCCTTTGGAAGTCAGTGGCGCACACAAGGGGGGTATCCAAGGGGTCCTCCCCCCATAGCCCTTGATTTTTTTTCTATTCGTTATAATCCTATGTATATATTGTGGCCGCGGTAACCGAGTGGTATAGGTATCGGATCGTGGCTTGTCTTGTCACGAGTTCGAGCCTAGTACCACTAAAGACCTGCCGTGTAGGGCAGCGATGCACGTTAAATCTGTTGAGAGCTGAAACGTCCTCCCGTTGGTGTGGTGTGGTAGTTAGGAGAGGGGGTGACAGCTCAGGTGTAGTCCACGGCACTTGACCATGGTTCAAAATTACGTGGTCCGTCGCCAAAAGCCCTCGTGTAGCTGAACAGTGCGACGTTAATATTCAATCGATCAACCTATGTATATATTACGTACAATTTAATTTTGTATTGTTTTTGTTCCTGAAAATCGACAAAATCAAAAGAATATGCTGGGCGGCGTATTGGAGCATGATACCAAAATGGTGGCTTTCGACCCTGCTGTAGGTTGATATACACCAGTTTGGGAATCACTGATCTAAATGTTCTAAAGCGTTTAATTATTATTCCATTGGACTTGCGGTACACAATTTCACTTTTTCCTCACGTCCAAGATTAAGATAACTCTAAATAATAACCATTTACCCTACTGGAATAAAGTAATAACAATTCAGTACAATGTCCGTCCCTCGCGGAATCTTCCCTTTTTGCATAAACATGGTAAATAATATGCATTTATAAATAATGATAAATAAATGAGGAGGAAACCAACTCTTTTTTCATTTGGGTTGATTATTAACTATTTATAAGTTTTTTTTATTGTGTGCGAAACACCACGAGGGCTGTTAGTGACGGACCTCATAATTCTTAACTATGATGAGGCCGATAACTTACGTGGTACCCGGCTCTCCGGCGGCCGGTATCCGACAACTTGCGACTTTTTTTTGAAAAAATGGAGATGTGGGAATTTTTTTTGTGATTTTTAGATTTATTTTGTATATTTTAAGGAAAAAATCCTAAAATTGAAAATAGAAAAAAAAATTATTATTAAAATGGAAAAAAACTGGTGAAAATGTACAAAAAATTACATAAACGGTGCCCTCTGTACAAAACTTTCACGAACAAATTCTCGTTTTTTCAATTCTGATATATTACTTTGTTATTCATGTTTGAAATGACCTTCAGGATAGTAAATATTTTACCTTTTACAAAAATTAGAGGACTTTATTTTAGTAAATATATGAAATTGCTTAAAAAAACAGCTGTTATATTCACAGAAAGGACTGTAAATTTTGTAATAAAACAGTGATTGATAAATCTGAAGGTCAAAACACTTCCTATGTTATATAGAACATACACAAAAAATTCCTTTAAATTATTTTCAAAACTTTTTGAACAATCGCCGTCCCCGTTTGAGCTTTTCGAAAAAAAACACATTTCGAGTAAAACGCATTTTGTTCTAGTGAATGGAAAATAAAAAACTTGGTATTTTTATTAAGATAATAAGATGACCTATGAAATAAAATCATAAAAAAAATTTATCAATTTTTGAAAAAAATCATAATTTTAGGATAGTCGGATACAGTGGCGCACACAAGGGGGGTGTCCTGGGGATCCGGACCCCCCAAAGCCCTTGATTTTTTTCCGGTTGATTATAATTCTAAGTACATAGTACAAAAAAATTTAATTAAATATTTGTTTTAATGATTAATTTTATTAATTAATGCTAATTATTTATTCAATAATTAGTTTTTTACTGTTTTTTGTTCCCGAAAATCGACAAAATCAAAAGCAGTATGATACAAGAATGGTTTTACTTTCAACCCTGACCCCCTTGAGAAATTCCTGTGTGCGCTACTGGTCGGATACCTTAATCTTCCACACCACGTCAAGAGGAAGATTCTGAGCCCCAAGAATTTAACGTACATCCACCCCGCTACATGATTGTTTTTCTATGATGCGATTGAAAAAATAACGCCAATAAGTTCGTCTCTATAGCCACTGAACAACCGGGCCCACTTAGTTGAGATGATAGATTGAAAGGTGACCAGTTTTTTTTTACAATGAAAAGGAGGACGAGAAATTTAAGAAAAAATTACATTGTAAATGCATGAAACATTTTATTAATTCAAACAAAAATGCGCTAATATTCCTTTTAATTATTTACATAAACGAGTATTTTTCCATTGAATGACTTTTTTTTTGTCAACATATCGTTTTCTAATAAATCGGAAATTTCAGAGCAAAGAATATCCTTTCTACTGAATTTTACGTAAGCACTGTAACTAATATATTAACATTCAATCTTGATTTCTGTCACTTGTGTACAAAAATCATTACCAACTGAAAAAACTCTTTCAACTGCTGCATTAGTTCCAGGGCAGCACAAAGTAAGTTCAACATGAATAACTAAATTTTCATATGGAATGTGTTAATTTTTTAAATGATTTGAGTATTTTCACCCATAAATTTCAGCATGTTGATTTTCCAATTGTTCTAATTTATTAGAAATTTAATATGCATTCTTTCTTTTTCAAACAGACAATTGTCATTGATTTTAATGTAAGGCATTTCTTTCGATAAAAACTCAACACAATTTTCTATATTTGCCCAATTCACTTGCGATGAAGTCAAAAAATACCATTAAAAGCTGTTATTTCCTGTGAAATTTGTTTCAGACCAGTCATCAACATATTGGAAACATGTTTGGTTCATCTCTGAAGACAGAAATTAACAGATCAGTTTTCAAATACTGAAAAGGAAGACAAGTAGGAGGACACTTTTCGAGGAAGGACAGAACCTATAAAAGGAGAACTGTCCTCCCTAAAGGAGGATGGATGGGTCACCTTATAGATTGCATCAGTATATGCCATGAATAAGAGGTATTGTACTTAATTTTATGACCATGTACTACGCTTGAAAAAGATTATATTCAAAATGCCGCAATAACAAGATACATATAAAAATTCTGGCCTTGAGCATTTGACAATATTCAAAAGCATTCTTATACCCCTCGCGTCTTGAACTAAAAGGACTTGAATTTCTATAACAGAAGCCACCGTAAACCTCCTCCTTTGGCAATCGGTTGCTTCAAAGTCTACGCAAAAAACACACAACATACTCACAGAACACGAAAATCATTGAGTATGAAAAGTAATATACATATCAAGAATTGAAAAGCCATATGTATTCACATTTAAAAAAATTCAAAAAATATTTTGAAAACATCAAGCTTTTTAGAAAATTTGTTAAAACGCGTACATAGTAAGAAAAATTATTTATATAATTAAATCTGATAAAATTAAATAACAAGCAATAATTTCTCAAACTTCGGGCTGGTACATAGAACAAAATGAATATGTCAACGTAGTCAATCATACTATTGATGACTTTAAAAAAAAACAGAACGTAAAAGAAAAATCTCGTAGTGATTTCCCTCTTGGAATATCAAAAACAATGTATAGATAAGATGATGATAAATCCTGTGAATAAAAATGATTTAAAATTTCGATTTTATTTTCATAATAAGTAATGTAAAAAAAAAAGAATTAAATCAATTCCTACTCAGGTCAACAAAGAAAATTTTTTTTTATATAGTTACTTTTTATTAAATAATTACAATTAATATAAATATGTATATAAATATGACAGAATCACAATATTAAGTGGCAAAATAGAAAGCGATTTTCCTTTCTACATATGGTGTGGGACTACTATTTTTGTTTCATTGAAATTTTCCATTTTCCTTTCTACATATGATGTTGAACTATTTTTTTTGTTTGTTGCTATTTATTTATTTTTAAATCACATTCTCAGAAATTAGGCCATCCCAGGTAGGATTCGAACCCATTACCTTTGGATTAGAAATCCAACGAGCTATACATTGCACTTCAGAGACACAACGGGAGATTTTCCTTTTTATGCATAGTGTTGGACTATTATTTTTGTTTATTACTATTTATTCCTTTTTTTAATTAAATTAATGAATTAATATTTGAAAAAGTGTCATCTACTACAAGTTTAAAAAAATGTATGTGAACTTGAGTGGATGAGAATAAAAAGTATTTTATCAACGATTGAAAATTTGAACAAGATATATATATATATAGGGTGAGCGTGAACTATATATATATAATAGTAGGAATTGAATAAGGGTTCCAAATAGGGCTACAGTATACGAATGGATAATACTGAAATATAAATTGTACAAGGCAATCTCTCACTAGAAAATCTTCTAGTCATTTAAAAAAACACAAAACATTTAAAGGCGGTTTTGTGTTTACTATATCAACAACATAATTCCAGCGAATTCTTTGATGCTTACTATTTACATAAAAATTGTTTAGGTTTCAATTATTCACGCCCCCTTGACCAGGAGTGCGATAAGTAGTAGTTGAATCGCGAGGATATACTATCGTGGGAAGCGTGTGCAGTCTGTGGGAGGTAGTAATCAGATTCGTCATTGGGAAATAGCCTTTTTGTGTCGAGTAGGCTTTTCAGGCTTCTAGAGAGGGAAAGGACAGTAAACTTCCTTCCTTGTCTCAAGGGAGATAAGCCAAGTGGAAGATTATATTCAAGTGCATTGCAGCACAACTAGCATTTCCGTTTGAGGGGATTGGAGCCTTATCAGTTCAGATAACAAAAGTTTGCGGCTACTACTTTTTCTCGTGGCTTATTGTCTGGAACAGGTAATCGGTTAGAATGATTGGGTCTCAATTGGGGATGAATTAAACAAAAGGTTGCCATTTATTGCATACTTACAATTACAAATGATCCATTTATTTTGTTAAATAACACAACAACTGTCACAATTTTGTTTCAAAATAGCTCTTACAGGAATTTTACATAGTTTTATTTTTTTCAATTCCTACTATTAATTCCCAATCACACGCCAAGTTCTCAGAATGATTTTAACATGATTCAACATGAGTTTTGTTCACTAAGCCCCCCCCATTATGATTAGCAGTGATTAACAATATATGATTTAAGACATTTGAAAACTTCACAATCAAAAGGTATTTTTCATTTTGAAGGAAAAATTGCAGGATTAATTTTTTCCCTTGGTCATTCATTTCAAAAAACATGTCAATTTTTTCAATTCCTACTATTAATTCCCAATCACACGCCAAGTTCTCAGAATGATTTTAACATGATTCAACACGAGTTTTGTTCATCATGAAGCCCCACCATTATGACTTAGGCAGTGATTACAATATATGATTTAAGACATTTGAAAATTTCACAACAAAAAGGTATTTGATTTTTTAAGGAAAATTGGGGTTTAATTTTTTTCCCTTTTTGGTCATTCATTTAAAAACATTCAATTTTTTTAACCTACTATTAATTCCCAATCACACGCCAAGTTCTCAGAATGATTTTAACATGATTCAACACACGAGTTTTGTTCATCATGAAGCCCCACCATTATGATTCTTAGGCAGTGATTACAATATATGATTTAAGACATTTGAAAAATTTCACAATCAAAAAGGTATTTGCATTTTTGAAGGAAAAATTGCAGGATTATAATTTTTCCCTTGGTCATTCATTTCAAAAAACATGTCAATTTTTTCAATTCCTACTATTAATTCACTCTCTCCCTTATGTATATACATATCTTTTCAATCGTTAATAAAATACTTTCCATTCATCCATTCAAGTTCAAATACATTTCTTAAACTTGTAGTGGATGACACTTGATGTTAATACAGTTTTTTCAAATATTAATTCATTAGTTAAATTTAATTAATGAATAAATAGTAACAAACAAAAACTTTTGTTCAACTCCCTATATAAAAAGGAAAATTGCTCGCTGTGTTCCTGTAGCGCAAGGGATAGCGCGTAAGACTATTAATCCAAAGGTCGTGAGTTCGAAACCTACCTGGGATGGCCTAATTTCTGAGAATGTGATTTATGAATGAATACATAGTAACAAACAAAAATAATAGTCCAACACCATTTATAGAAAGGAAAATCGCTTTCTATTTTACCACTTAATATTGTGATTCTGTCACATGTATATACATATTTATATTAATTACATTTTTTTACTAAAAATGAACTAAAATAAAATTTTTCTTTGTTGACCTAAATAGGAGTTACATAAGTAGAATTATTTATTTTTTTATATTACTTGTTTAGATGTGGTGTGTTTGAGGTTTTATGATTTGAGAAAAATGTGAGTTATACGAAGAAAAATTAAGATTTAAGAAAAATTATTAGTTTCAAACAGTTTTTAAAGTAGTTTGTTGCCAATATACATTCAAATGGTTCTACATATTTTGTGCAGAACAGATAATACATATAAAATTATTGTGAAATATAGTTGATAATACGCATATTTCAATTGGATGCCTCGAATATTTTATGTAAGTTCTAAATATGAGCACTCCTTTTTTGATGTTGTCGTGTCCTTCCCGGAGGGAAGGAATGAAAGTTGCCAGAGCCTGAGACAGGTTGGACTTCTTTACGATAGATGGTGACACCACCTATCTCCACCTCCACAATTTAGGCATGGAACTGGAGGGGAGGGAAATAATCTCCAGCACCCTGCACCCGTGATTTCTGCTGCGACCGCCCACAAGACTTTGGGACCTACTGATTTAACGAGCACGTACTCCGTGTGTACTCGGAGGGTATTTGGTGGCATTGGGCATCGAACCCAGGCCTTCCGGTCCGATGCTCTAACCACTGGGCCACCCACGGCTACCCCTCGTTTTTTGATACTACATTAAGTTTCAAGTCCTTTTTTCTTCAATTCCTGCTATTAGTTCACACTCTCCCTATATATATATATATAGTTCAAATTTTCAATCTTTAATAAAATACTTTTTTTTCACCCACTCATGTTCAAATACATTTTTTAACTTGTAGTGGATGACATTTGATGTTAATACAGTTTTTTTTAAATATTAATTCATTAATTAAATTTAATTAATGAATAAATAGTAACAAACAAAAATAACAGTCCAACATCATATATGAAAAGGAAAATCGCTTGTTGTATCCCTGTAGCGCAACGGGCTTCTAATCCAAAGATCGTAGGTTCGAATCCCACCTGGGATGGCCTAATTTCTGAGAATGTGATTTCTTTTTACTATACTATTTTATTGAAATAATTAAATTTAATAAATGAATAAATAGTAACAAACACAAGAGAGAATATAATAGTCTAACACCATATGTAGAAAGGAATATATAACCAAAACATATTTTGTTAAGTAAAACCCTAAATATCAAGAAATAATAAATTAATCGATATATTTTATGCGTTTTCTTTATAAGCATAACTTTTTGTAAAACTAATGTGGGTATTTTGGTTCTAAAAAATACCTAAATAAATTATTATAAATTTTGATTTCGTCTCATTTTTGTGCAATTCAATATTTGCGCTGAATATAAAATGTGCTCTTCTTTATAATTTGGAGAAAGCAGAATATGATGTTTTTATCTCAATATTGTTTTATATGAAAAAAAAAAAACTCCGTACCTGGATGCTATTTTCAACACAAGTCAAAGAGCATTCAGATGTGTAGGTTTTTCTAATTTTAAATATAATAATTATACTCACCAGTGGCCCACACAAGGGGGGTGTCCTAGAGGTCCGGACCCCCCCAAAGCCCTTGATTTTTTTCCAGATTGATTATATAATATTAAGTATATAATACGTAAAATTTAATTAAAAATATTTGTTTTTAATGATTAATTTTATTAATTAATACTAATTATTTATCCAATAATTAGTTTTTTACTGTTTTTTGCTCCCTAAAATCGACAAAACAAAAGGAGCATGATACAAGAATGGTGGACTTTCGACCCTGGACCCCCTTGGAAAACTTCTGTGTGCGCTACTGATACTCACTGTAAGTATAATTTTAAAAAAATTTAAGGTGACTGCCTACCTTGAAAATGTCGTTTTTCGTTTGCATAAGGCATTTTTTTTAAAATTTCAAATTCTTATAGTTTGAACATTTTTCTTTCCAAAACAGTTTTTCTTTTTCCTTTACGCGAAATAGAAAAAAAAGTTATAGTGATTTTAAAAAACATCACTCTATGCAAAAGGGCAGTAAGATAAAACTTTAAATAAGTTTTTCTCAAAATTATGTTTTGAAAGAAACTCTTTACCAGATACATCATATCATAAGAATTAAACCAGATAACGTTTTGAAATTTTGTAGGAATGTTTATTATCTTATTTTTCATAAAGTGGACCATAAGTTTTGTTGCAGGTTAAATATTTTTTCATTTAGGGTAGTTTTTATAAAGAAAAAACTTTAAAAATATCAAAATTTTCATATTATTATGTATAATTGCATGTAATTTTTTTGTATTTTAATATTTCTTTAGATTTTGGTTCATTTTGATGAGCACCATGTGACGGGCTCACTCGCCTTTTCATTAACATGTCCTTTGGGTTCTTTGGGGCCAGAATTAATGGCAACTCTTTTCCAACCAAACCCAAGAAGTGAAGCGTGAAGGAAAGATGCAAATTGGGAAGCTTTTAAACATCAAAAGTTAGATTAAGCGGTGTGGTAATTTGGGGAATGTTATGATAGCTCGTGATACAAGTGTGAAGAGTCTTTGAAAGGCTAAGTGACAGCCAAAAGAAGTTATCCATGTCAGAGAGCCCTTAGGTCAAGGTGCATACCATTGCACTCCAGTGAACCGCAACTTCAACTAGGATCAGATTGATAGCTACTTCATTCGACATTAAAGTAGGAGTGACTATTTAATATTCGAATCTGTGGTAGCAGTGTAATTGAGTTAAGGCGAGTTAGTTATTGATAGTGGTCCGAGTTACGCTACTTCGGCATTATATATATTGTGTGTTTAACCACCGTAGATTCTCTCACATATATTATTATTATCTAATCTGTTAGAGGTTTAAGTTTAAGATCT